TCACGAATACGTCTATCATTATCTCTCTTGAACTCGGTAGCAGCACTCCGAACATGTCTCTCGACATTTACTCCCCCAGTTTTTTTTAACGCTTCCAATACCTCACGACTGATACTATCGTCAGGATTCTTAAAAACTTCTGAAAATGCATTTTAGTAATTAACGGTACTTGTCATACCCATATGAACCTTTCACCATGAAGCATATATCAAAATAATAATCTTGTAAAAATGTGAAATATTTTTATCAAATAAAATTGGGTTATCCGAAAAAGACATCATTTATAAAAATACAATAAACAAACAGGATATTTATATTATCCCTTATAAACATGTAAAAATAATAAAAGACTATCCAACATCAAATCAACGCTTCTCTTGTCTTCGATTCTGAAATTATCACAAATCTGTTCAATCTTACGAACTTGATCTTGATTAAGAGATCTTGAACCAACATTATCACCACTCGAAACCAATCAATTACAATAATCATCAACTTGAGTCCTATAATCAAATATATTCGGAATTACAGTATTCCGAACCTCACCACCACCCTTAAAAATGACCGCATTTCTCTGAACATTATAATCCCATCGTCTTGAACCTGCCCGATACAAAATTGTTAATTCGTCATTACCAATCCTATTATTGGGGTTTAAAAAAACAGAAGAAAATGCATCTTGATAAGCTCAGACATCATTCAAACCATTATTTCGAATATAATAGATACTCCATCATAATATTATGATCTTGTATAAATGTGATATATTCTTATCCAATAAATTGAATTATTTTCAGATGTAACTGTTCGTACTTCTATCCTATAAAAAAATATAAATAAATATTTATTCATCTACATCCAATTCGATCAAATATTATCTCTCTTACAAATCTTGATCTCAACATGATACACATCAAACAACTGATCAATTTATAACGAATGATTGATACCATGACCATACTTTAAACCCAATCAAATTAAATATAAAATTAGAACAAAACGCCACACTTTATCACGCCAATCGATATTTATTATATTGTAAACAACAAATTAAATCGATCTATATTCAGACAAATCTTTACACATTAGGTAATCCATAAGATATCTAACCTTATAATCTGGAAATCTTTCCCTGAAATAAACTTGATCATCTCTAATGATAATCTCACCATCAACATCTTGATTCATGTCTTTAATCTTTTGTTTCAATTCATCGATTGTATCACCATACCTCCTATATTGGATATCTCATTGCATGTTACAAAAATCATCCTCATCGCCCTTTTCAAAAAATATTCTGGTCGTCCGTTCCTCAACATCATCATTCCACTTCCCTTCCAACCGGATAATATAATCAATATGATGGAGAAACTGCTCGGATGAACGTTTATTATCATCTTCATCATTTCCGGTACCATAAATATATGCATTCTATGGTGATTGGGTACTTGTCATAAATATATATCATGGGATAAATGATCTCAAGGTTCCATACTTGATCTCAACCGAGTAATCAGTATCATTTAACAAGTTTACCATCTCGCCCCATGAAATCTTGGTATAAAATTCATCCAAGAAAACCACCGATTGACCATCATATCTATTCCACTAATTCTTTCCACCTGATCGATCCTTTGAGGACTTACTATACATCACATTCGAAAATAACTCAGTTATCAATCCTGTCTTACCAGAATCACCAGAACCGTAAATATAAATCACAACAGGTTTCCAAAATCTCTTGACAATTGATCCCTTCAACATCTTCTCTTCCCATTCCAATTCTTTCATCAACTTATGATTCGAACGTCAACTCAATGGTTGCAAATTTCGATTCATTATCACATCTTTATAACTGATATCACCATCCCGAAGATTCACTAATTGTTCCAAATCTTCCTCCTTGATCTCATCCATAGAACTCTTGACATCCTTTTGATCCTTCAAACGTGAGTGCTTTTTAGGAATACCAAACTCATAATATTCATCTGGATCTTCCACATGTTTTCTCTTTTTCTCACCATCAAATAGCTTGCAGTTTTCCTCCTTCAATTCAGAATAGGTCCCTTTGCGTTGAAAGAATGGAGCCTTGCAATAATTCGAGGCCTCTTCAACACTACCCCACGCACCTTCAAGATGAATCGTATTGTTTCCCAAAAGTTTCTTGATTGTACCTACCCGTTTTCGTTTATCCATTTGGAAATATGCCTGATAATGTATACGTTCAGTCTCTGGTGTCGATTCATATTGATCCACACAATAAGTCATGAACTCAGATCAATCGAAATCAGTCTGAGAAGTTGGAATAGATCTCTTGCATTCAATGTCGGATTCAAGACAACTGGAACAGACCACGGCATTACATTCATTCATTCAACAGCAATTTTCACAATTATCATCAGTACAGCATCGATGCTTCTGATTACAATGATGGTATTCATAATTGTAACAATAATTTTCACAACACATCTCACAAGACTCGTTGATACATCTTCGATGCTTCTTTTCACATAGTTCACAATTAACCTTATCAGAATATTCTTCAGGCTTGTAGGAACCGGAACACTGAAATTTTTCACGACAGTTTACACAATGATACTCTGTCGCACACACATATTGAATCATCGAATTCTTCATATTTTGTTTTTTGTATCTCTGTTTATACATATTTTCAATATACATGATACAATCAACATCATTATATAATGTATCAAATCGTAGTTAACCTTATATAGTTATCTTTTGTTGGATCACATTATCCAAAGTTTGGCAAACTTAAAATTTTTATAAATTATTCAATAAATCATCACGTCTTCAATAATGGCTCAAGATCAAGTTTTCCGTACTGTCGAACTTAACTCACATATCTTTTTATTTCTCACCGAAATATTTGATCGTGAATCTTACAAATTAGTTAATCATAAATTCCATGCTATTTACATAAAATATAATAAGTATGTATTCTTCAATCAATACTTTACTCCATGCCGTTGGACCGTCGAACATGACATATACAAATTCGGATATATTGGTGATAAATGTCAATATGAAATTTATTACAACGAAAACATGTCCCATCTCAAAAATCATACAAAATTCATGGTTCGTTTTCCTGGATACCATGAAGAATTGAAACTTATGAGATCTAACAAAACACCTCATCGATACTATTGCATACATCCAAGACATAGAGGAGTTATCCTCTACCTGATAATTCAGGAATTCGTAGAAAATTTTGATAAAGATATATGCATGGAATGTGGTAATTACGACCATGTCATTATATCCTTTTTAACCAATAGTAATGGAACTATAAGTTTATGCTTCAAATGTGATCATGAAATACGATGGAAATAAAGTTCTCGTAATATTTTTGAAATGACCACTTTTTTTAATAATCATATAATTATTATCATATAATAAATCTCGAATTTAACATTTATTGAAATTATAATCTGATATCATTATAATAAAATCGATACGACTTGATAGTTCTGATATCCATAATATAACCACTAAATTCATTCAAATCGTAAGTACTAATCAAACCATCAGGATTTCTATGTTCTACAAATCTATCACAGTAACATTTAAATCCATCGGGTTTGGATATAAGATTATCATTCATATCATAAAAATGAATGAAACATTGTGAAATCTTCACCCTAAATCCGAATTTCTCATAACTATATATACATCTACCATCATTAACCTTATCACAATCTTCGCAAAGTTTAAGTGTATATAATGTACCAAGTCATTTTTTGGAATCAAAACACAAACTATCGACACAATAATCGAACTTTTCACATCCCTGACAATTTTCCTTACTCAAGGAATCCACATCTTTTTGATTTACCTTGCATATCATCGAATGACCATAACTTGGAACTCTACAATATGGCACCATCCTTTTATTATAAAGAATCTTTCTTCGAACCTCTTTTCCATTAACGTTGAATATGACATTCTTCTTGGAAGCACGTATAAATTCAAAAATTTGGGGAAATACATTAACACTACAGAATATGTGTCTACTTGGATCCAATGAACGAACATCATCAAGATGACATGTATAAATCTCGTTACATTCTTTATTAACAAGTCAAAATTTTAATTGATCCTTGAAGGACAAGAGTCTGAATATGATATAAAGAATATCGTAATTTAATATCATGTTTAAATCACGAAAAAATAAAACCATTTTATTTATACATCTTAAATATAATCATGTTATCAAAAGTTTGCCAAACTCATATTATCCTTACAATACTTTACCAAACATAAAAAGATAATAACAAAAATGTATAAACATAACTTTAACATTCACGTTATGTGATATCTCTTGAGCTCCATCTCCCTCCTTTCAAGTTCTCCCACCAATGCATCCTCAAAATCTTGTAACTCTCTCTGTGATGCTTGCAACATCATTTGCATTACTCCCAAATCATATTCATACTCACGAAGCTCTCGTAATCCAACAAGTGCTTCTATCTTCAATTCACGAGATAATCTCTGATACCTTCTTCTCAATCTTTGTAACATCTTCTGATGTCTCATCTGACGTCTCAATTGGCGATCGTTTTGTCTATTGGGATCCTCCACACGACACAATGGGTAGGTATGATTCTCCTTAAACCATTTGGAGATACATTTGCCACACATCAATCGACAATTGCAAAGGGGCATCATAGATGCAGGGTTCGTATCACTTATTTCTTCGTAACAAATTATACACTCTTCCATATTTAATGAAACTGATAGATCAAATGTTTATTTATAAAAAAAAACAATACGTAATAATTCTTCGATAACCTTATATGGTTATCAAATCAACAAAGTTTGGCAAACTAAATTTTCACGTCAACATGAAAGTAATCAGGTTGAATTTCAAGCATATGGCACGAATGTGTGTACAATCAGTTTGCCATGTCAAACAATACAACTATCTTGATTTGAGTCGACTCCAGCAATTTCAATATCTTCAAATTATATCTCTTGTAGAATAAATAGGATCGATACTTTTTCAAGAACCTTTCAATCTTCTCACAATTTTCATCCGTTACCTCGATCAGCTTGCCTTCTGTGACCTCAAACATATTAAGATAATCCTCGTGTATCTTCCAATATAATTTATCAATCCTGTCCTGTACCCCTTTTGCTAAAAATCTAAATAAACATTAACATCAAATCAAATACGCGAATCATTCATCTTACGTACTCTGTAACGTGTGAAGATACATCAGTCTTTTGTTTCAAAAAGATACATACGACAGTAAATACAATAAAAAATAATATGATTTTTGTCACACCCTTCATCTTTTGATCAACCTTGGTTCCAAATCAACTTTATTTATATCCTTTTGATTGAAAATATAACTCACTTGTTCTCATCCTCGATGATGATAACATTAATATAATTATGATTCAGTTGAATGTTTAAAATCTAACATGCACTTAAATACAATTGACTCGCTATCCCAAAAAATTTCAACATCTTGACCTTGTTCTTGTTCCTCTTTCGCGTTTCAAAAAATGAGGTATGCTCTAACGTTTTTATCTCATTCAGATTATACCCATACCCTCGCAAGAACCCTTCATACTTGATCACAAAATCTCTAAATTTCTGAACGTTTTCATTTGTCACCTTGATGGAACCATTCCCCACAATTTGAAATATATCTAAATAATCATTACAGATCCCTTGATACAACCAATCGATCAATTCATAGATCTCTTTAATGCTCATTGACGACATCCTAAATAAACAAAAGTTAATATCATAATATAAAAACTTTACATTCGTCCAGCTTACCTTTGTTCAAGTAATTCTGTTTAACAGAGAAACAAATCCGCTAATCAATCTATTTAAATATTCAATCATTACACCAATAATTATTAATATAAAGTTTGGCAAACTTTGAGATCACGTTATTTCAAATAAATCAATAACCCGTGATCTCAGAGTTTGGCAAACTTTATCATACATAATCAAATTTACAAATAAATTTAAATATCATGACGAACTTTATGACGTATCACACAAAGTTTGACAAACTCCGTTAAATCTTATTAAATATATACTTTATTAATGATCTAATATGATACAATATTTACAACTGAGTACATCCTATCTATAGTCAAAATATCCATCACAACATTAAATCCAACTATCGTTCTCTTCCAGCTCACTATCTCTATGTCTTTTCTCAAAACTTTCATCTTCTTCGATGTCCCACCCATCCGCAAATTGTCATTCAGGTTCAGAAGGCATAGTTTATGCGTCTTCTGACCCAAACGTCTTTTCAACCATGTTTACATCGGGACACCGACCACCCAATCAGGCTTGAGCTTAATGTCAGATTTAATGAATGAAATGTTCAGGATAATGATTTATTAGATAACACCAGTACAGAAATGAAGTAAACACATGTATAATCAGATATACTATTATGGCTGATATCCAAAAGAATTCTTTGGATTTCAGAATCGATCTCAGGAAGGATAGTAAATCATTTTCATCCGATGACTTCTTTGATATGGTTGACGGATCGATGATCATGAGACCAATGAGAATCAAGATCACGATAAAATAATATTTGTTGAACATCTTGATTTGTCTTGAATCTGAATGAATATTCTTGAAGGAATTAAATTGTCCAGAAGAGATTCAAAACCATCGCTCCTTATAATACATTTGCGGACAATAGGTGCAACCACTATTGATCATCAAGATCTTGATCACGACAGAACGCCCATCTCACCACACATCTCGGCAAGAACGAATATTCTCATTATGATAACCATATATGGAAAGAAGACTGAGATTCCAAGATTCCTAACAGTGGTTCGATCATTTCGATTGGTTCAGCATTTATGGAGTTAACCTCATCCGTTCCATTAGGGTACATCACATATGCATCAATCACGCATGATCCGAATCATGCCAAACAGGTTTCAACGGTCCAAACATTGTGAAACTTTCACACACCATCACGCTCACCATGCACAACCTAAAAGAGATGAAAAACACACAGGTCACAACACTGACATGAAAATCCAGAGTTTGGCAAACCCGGCGATTGATATATCAGACATGATCCTAACATAATCAAATGGTTCCTTCGATTCAAATCACATGAAATACACGAAAACTCATGACACCTCAACCTCCAGGATGCACGGAATAATGGATTTCTAAAAAAGGAAATGCCACGTGTCAAAAGAATACTTTCTCAAACGAACGTGATGCTCTTTAATATGATGAATGATGATCTCGCACCAATCCTGATCACGATGAACAGCACAGAAGCATCCAGATCACATAAAATTCACATACGATGGTCCATGCGATGCATAACCTAAAGGAGATGCAAAACATGCGATCACAATACGAAGAAATGGATGTGACATATTCATCACAGATGAATCCTTCTTGATCACATGAGCAAGAAAGTGCAAAATTTTACCTTGAGCCAAATAATTCGACAGGGATGCACTTTGGTCTTATGCTCAAACTTGTGGAGGAAAAAATTTCAGTCTCGAACCATCCAACGAGCCATCACACGCTCCGTTCGAATCAAAACTCGCGGAGATAGGGGTGGGTCCCGTGCGTGCACCATCACGGGCGAACAGAAAAGTTGAGACGTTTGGTTTGATAACTCGACGCCGAGTGGATTTCCACTAATGCATATCTTAACACGAAAAATGGAACCGATCCTGAGCTCTCGAAAGGTGGTCTCGCGCTTCGTTTTGAATCAAAATTGACAGAGTTCAATATGTGACAACTTTTCGCG